CAAAAAGAAATAAATCCATATTAAATCGGACGTATCGGCCTACCTTCATACGCAATTTTTAATTATTCGGACTGATAGTTTTCTCAATATGAAAAATGCACCTTTATGATGACGTCACATGCCTTATGATGACGTCATCTTGATAACACTTTTCAATGCACATTTTCAATGCCCCTGTAGCACCCCCCTGGATCCGCCAATGGACTATGCTTACTTTGAATGATGTATGACAAAGATTAATGCCAAAAGTGGCACTGAGAAAAAAACGTCTGCAAAGTCTATGGGATTTAGGCAAGAAGAAGAAGAAGAAGACTTTGACTTTTCAAATTAAAACTTTATTTCAATTGAAAACATATCCAAAAAAAAATATATACAAAGTAACAAATACAATTACAAAGAAAAGGGTAGTAAACTACATTGATAAAAAAATTACAATGTTCCCAACAACACAATAATCTTCGTAAAGCAAAAGTAGCTCTTAGTGAAAAAAAAACCAAAGGTAATGGAAAAGTAAGAAACTTTAAGAAAGTATCATTGTTATTGAAGAAAAACCAAGTAATCGGCAGACAGAACAACAACAGGGCAAGACACAAAATCCAAGCGACAAAAATGTCGGCAACACGCCACGCCGACGCGGCTCACCTATTGTCTGTATACTACTGCCAAACCAGCAAACCACGGCGACGAAACCGCGCACCAACACCCCACCCGAACTCGCACCCCAACCCCCCCCCCCCACCCCGCCCGCCAGCCACTCAACCCCCTCCGCCCCCCTGCAAACAAAAATCATTTTAGACGGAAAAAACACATAATGTGAACATACTGACAGAAAAGAAATCCGTAGAAAGGAATTATGAGGGAGGGTTAAGAAGGGGAAGGAAAAGAATGGATGGGAAGGAGAGCCACCGGCGTCTCAGGAGTAGGGGGAGGGGGTAGGAATAGGGGAATAGGAGGATACTGGTAGGTTCACATCAACCATGTCAATTTGCCATATTTATCAATGATGAAGAGAACTGCATGAAGGGGCCATTTTGTGTGAAAGCCGTTGATGTCGTAACATAATTGAAAATAGGTATATTCAAGGAGGATTTTATGTTTGAGACGGTGTTGCCAAATGGCGAGGAGATCAGAAGAACGGCAGGTGCGATATAGCCAATAGATGACATTTTTTAGGCTGATGATGAAAAAATCGGTGAGACGTACGACCTCACCGCTTTGGCTCCTAGTACGCGGAATCAGGGCCCAGTAGATGTCAAAGTTCAAGTCCAGATCGGGAAGAAGGGATAGGATGGTGTGAAGGAAGCAGGGTGGCCATTTTAGCCGATTTTTGGCTAACTTTGACAGAATTTTTGTTAAAAAACGAGTTTGACCGAAAATTTGACAGAATGGATTTTTTTGGCAGATTTCTGGCAGAATTCTGCAAAAATGGTTATTTGACAGAAAAACAGCAAATTTGAACAAAAAAGAGTACATTTTGTATAAAAAGCTTCAATCCTTTCAAACAAACCCTTGCATAATGGGACAGGTTAGCTGGTCTAGGTGCTGAGGTTCACTGGGAAATGAACTTCGTCCTGGCCGGATCTGCGTTTTGCCCAAAATTTACCAATAATTTCGCAACATCTTTATGTGACTAGATTGTTTATTATGTAATTTGAATCTTAATTAAGGCAATACTACCAATCTGCATGTGATTTTAAGTGTTTATAGTGTATTTCGAGTAATTCTGGGGATTTGGCAGATTTTTGATAAATCTGACAGATTTTTGATGTGCATTTAGCAGAATTTGGCTCTGACCTTACGATCACCCTGGAAGGAAGTTGAGTGCTGGTTGAACAGAAGGACAGATGACGAAAAGGTGTTGTATTGTGCCTCTCTCTCTGCACCAAATGCAGGAAGATGGAATGTCCGGATTCAGGTGATGAAGTACGGGCAGAGAAGGAAGGACATTGTGTAGAAGCTTGAACTGAACATCTCCTTCCTTTTTTGATGACGGTAGTTTGTAAATGGAATTCCACTGGATTTTGGACGAGGCTTCTAGAAATCCGAGGTTTACCATGGAGATAGAACTGCAGAGGGTGCGTGAAGATGAGCATTGAAGATAGCATACATTGTGCTTGATGGTGCGGAGAGTCCGTTTGCAGAGGGGGGCAGTGTGAACTCGATGGGTGAGTCCAGGCGGGGAGGGACGTCGTGAACTTTGCCGATGTTTGGTTGAAGGCCGTCCTCTCTGAAGATCTCCGGGAAAGAGGATACGAGGGCGTAATGAACCTGGATGAGATGAAGGTGCAAAATTCGTTCAGAAGGCGGACGTAGGGCTAGCGGGAATGGTAGATCTCCTGGGTTGAGCCAGTGTCTGGTGTTCGCGTTGAGAAGATGGCTCACCAGCCTGATTCCGGGCACCGAAAGCCGGTCGGCGAGGTTGGTGTCACTTTCGAAGGTGTTGCCTAAAATAGGACTTACATGTATGAGGGGTAAGTTGAGGACATGGTTGACGGAATTGGTGGGTGTTTCGATACGATATGGGGGGGGGGTTGCTTTTCCGTAACCTCTTTGCAGGAAAGACTTTGATTTTCTTCACATTTTTCTCCAGATTTTCCTTCTTGTTCAATCCCAAATCCCATTTACTTTGTACATCATGTTTTTTGGGTGGCACATTAGACATTTAGCAAGTTCAGATCTTGATCAAACTTAACACAGGTAAAGACCATAAAGTAAAGATGGTCCCAAAAATGGACGTCATGATGACATCATCACGTGTCATGTGATGTCATCTTAAAGGTGTCATTTTCAAAGTCCTACCGGTATATCTTCAGAACACCAATTCCCATCATATGGAAACTTTGTAATGTAGTCAGCGATGTGTTATAGATGAAACTTGAGATGACGTCACAATGACATCATCATGTGATTTTATATAGATTTAGAAGTTGTGAAGTTTATTGCTGAATCTGACATGTAAATGGCTAAATTTAAAAAAAAAATTGTTAGTAGGTGATATTTGTGTGCTAAAATTTCAAATGATGTGTGATGACTTTGTTATGTGATCAAAAATGATATTTCTAAAACATATTAGGGAATACCTGATCACCTTGAAAACTGTTGGTTAGTTTTATGCACTTTTTAAAATGACGTTGGGATGATGTCACATTTAATTGTTGTCAAAGTTTTAAAGTTTTAATTGTGAAATTTGTAAAGTAAGTCTTATCTATGGAACTACATGTACATACATGTACAAGACTTTAAAAACCACAACTATGGTCATTAAACTTTGTTCATCCACAAAATTGAACGGTCATAGGACTGCAGTGGACAAATAGCTTAACATTTTGAGAAAAAAAACTCTCTATCAAAGGATCTGAAATACAGACAAAGAAATAACGTTTTAGATTAAAGTACATTATTAAGTTAAGTAATTTATAATTATTAAAGTAATTTGGGAATTATTAACACTGTTTTCCTAATTTATAAATCCAAGAATATTTTCTGTAAACACATTAGTTATTGAAAGAGTTTTTACCATGTTGCCCAATAAGAAGAATTTTTCGAAATGGCAACTATGCAAGAAAAAGAATATTTATAACAGTGCAATTTAATTCCGAGAATAAATATGAATTATTCACCAAATAGTGTTACAAAATAATGAAGTTAGCCACGTATGCATGCTCGAAAAACAATTTTCTGAGTGATAGCACTTTAAACAAAACCGATATTATAGGGAAAATGGGAAAGTCTATTTCAAATAATAAATGTGAACATGAATTATAGCAACACTAAGATTAAGTTAAAGTTTGCGTGTTCTTGTGTTGCAAAAATGTACAAATAGCTTTGTTTCAAAGGGAAAATGCAGATTCGGGAAAATACAATAAATGTTAACACTGTTTTCCAAAAGTTATTGATTTCTTAAATACAAATGTTGTGATCGCAAATAAAAATTTCCGGCAGTGTCTGCTTTTACGGCCTTAAATCTGGCAGTATACAGAGACATAGAAAAGTCCAGATTGTGGCATAAAAAGATTGTGGCATAAAAAGACTGCGGCATAAAAGTTAAAAAACACACTGCCCATGTATTTTATATTCAAGGGTCTTTACTCACCACCTGGGCTGATCTATGTTGATGCCTTCCTCTTTCTGTGATTGATGTTGAAATCAATGAAGCAGCAGCAAAATTGTAGAAAAACTGCAATGCCGGGTATAAAATTGTTACGCTGGTGTTGATGCAACGAAATGTTGGATTGAAATCAATGATATTATTGCAGCTTGCCCTACAGGAAAACTATGGAAATGCCTGGAATGCCAGCTATCCAACATAAAACAGCGCTGTGGAATACAAAGCTCGCTACGCCCTTTGCATAGTTTAAATGCAGTGCGCTATTCTTGGTGGCAGGCGCTGTGCTAAAAAAGTTTAGTTGGCCGCCAGAGGGCACTAGGGCTAGGCAAATTAATCTGCATGATCGCAACACTCATGGCTGACATGATGATGACATGACATGCACGAAGTTCACAAAAGTTATGACATGTATGATGGAGTATAGTAGGGAACCTGTTCGGTAAAAGTAAGTTTGAAAATTCAACCTGGTTACAATTATGGAGGACACAAATGAAAATAAAGGTGGAATCATGATATGCAACAACAAGATATGCAGCAACATTGTGCATCAGCCAGTGCCTTTGGTGCCCATTCCATAAGCATCCTAAAATGGCTCCCATCATCCTCATGAGTTGGTGACACTGATAAGCTAATAAGTCAAGAGCTGAAACAGTCTGCAGCAGATAACAACTCAAAAGCTTTTAGTTATTATTTAAGTTTCTGTTCAGAATGCTTACAATTTACTTTCTGAGCGTAGCACAGGCTGGTTGAAATAAATGAGATGTACTTTGTAAGTTTGTATAAACTTCTAAAACTGTGCCCCATTATTGGCTTTGAATTAAAATTGTACAAGCACCAGATTTTGTGATGCTCCTTTTTATTTTTAATTTGATTATTTTTGGCTTTTTTATAGGAGTAAGTGGAACATGGATAGATATGAAGAGTCTCAAGATGTCGATATAACCATTCTTCCAGAGAATGAGCAGCCAAGACATACTTCGGATTGTAGTGACATTTTACCTAACTTCCAGTTGTTGGATGGACGTGGAGCTGTACAGAACAGCACCGACAGCACTGACAGAACCATTGAAGGGTTTGTGGCTCTCAAAATAACTTACGACCATGTCTTCAGAAAACAGCGAGAAAAGACTAGGCTGTTGCAACAAAAGAACCAACAACTTGCTACTGAGATTCAGCTGCTAAAGAAAGAGAGGAAAGATTCAAGGTACCATTCAGCGGTGAGACATTTTACCTAGTATATTTGATATTATACGTACATATACTGACCGTTTATGAGTGCTTTGGAAGAACAATTTCATGAGATGGCGGATGGAATGGTCCATTCCACAAGGGATATAATATGTAAGAGACAAGTGTCTGAATTGCACAAATATGAAACATTCATTATTGTTTATAAATACAACACCGTGTTGGCAACGCAACTGAACAGTTGCTTCATTCCCAACATCACTGTCATGGACACCACGTAGCCGTCCATCTTGGCTATGGTGACAGCACATGTGCACAAACGGCACAACGTGCCCTCGAGCTTAGTGTACAAAGTGAATACCGGTTACCAACGCACTGTATTTATAAAAAGTGATTTCTTAGAAGATAGATATTCGTCATTGATTTAGTCATGATTTTTCTTTTTAAATTTAATTCTTGAAATTTTCATTCAAGGTCTCCTATTTAATTGAAGCTCACGTGATAATTTTGACTAATATTTTGTAAAGGATTCCATTCGTACACGAAACGTTTTAGGCTTAGGTTAAAATACGTGTACTGCATGCACGCACCAACTCGGTATTCTAAGATGCAATACATTGTACATACATGTGCAGTGCATACATGTGCACATTTATTCAGTGTAGGATGCCCCATGTCTTGACAACCATGTGCCATCCGTTACACGTACACGGTAAAATTAACATGTTTGTAACGAATGCAAATTATACTCAGACTCACTAATTAATGAAACCAAGGACATTATTATTTGTGTGTCTTACCACAGCTTCAAGATATTTATTGAAACTTTTGTTGCCAGGTACCAAATTTGGTTAGGCAAGCTGGCATCACGAATATGGGCTACCAGACCCAAGCATATCAACCACACAATCAATGGACACCCAGGTACAATGGGCCACCCGGCCCAAACGTATCAACCATGGACACCCAGGTCCAATGGGCTACCAGGCCCAAGCATATCAACCACACAATCAATGGACACCCAGGTCCAATGGGCTACCAGGCCCAAGCATATCAGGCGCGGATCCAGGGGGGGGCCGCGGGGGCACGTGCCCCCCGTCAAATTTGAGTCAAAAAAAGAAAAAGGAATAGAAGGGGGGAAAAGAGGGGAGGTGAGGGAAGGAGGAGGTAACCTCCTTACAAAAATACCGGCGCCGATATTAAACATGAGCCTGCAAACATTGCGTACTCGACTCGAGAAGCTTCAAAATAAACCGCGATCCCATAGTACGTACCCCGTGCGTACGTACGTACGTACGTATTACCTGCATATACCGTTATTAAATGCGATTCATACGAACGTACACGATTTATTCTCAACGAACATGCAGCTTTATGTGCGCGACAAACACACGTTGCGCAGTGCTCTTTGGACCACACCATTGGTCAAGGGTGTGTTTTAGTAAGAACAATTTGCCAGCAGTTCCACGCGCTTTTGAATTACAAATTATACTTTTTTTAAGGAGTCCAAACATGCCCTTGTTTTAAATTGACTTCTTCAACGTCACGTCATCATATTAGTTTCGTAAAGACTTTATTCGAGAAACGATGTAAAACCCTGAAAAAAATTGAAACACCCCTGAAGGTCATGGATCCATCCATAAAACGTTTTTTTAACGAAGAAAGTTGAGATCCAAAAGTTGGGTTTTGACGTTACTACGCGTTGCAGAAAATACAAATCTGAAAAGTTTGGTACATAAAAGAGATCTGTTTGTCTGTCTGGAGGACAAAAACAATCAGCAGTTTTGGCCCAAAGGCAAGTTTTAGCACTCGAGACATGCTCTTGCAAGCTAGACAGAAAGCAAGTGTGTTGCTTTTTGAATTGCAAGCGGGATATTAAATTTGATCGTAGTTCGCCGGTGGCGACGTGGGCCGGCATCCGTGCCGGACCGGGAGGTATACACCTATTCCCGATGTCTATTTCTCAACGTTATCATCAACAATTATTTACTGTAATTGTTTTTACATAACTAAATGACGAATCCACCTTCAAAATTGTAAAATGCGGAAATTGCAATCATGGCGCCGAAAGACCCGATGTCTATTATAATTGTAAAGACCAGACGCAGTGTCTCACACAATTTGTCTTGCTGCGCCGCCGATCTGCCGATGGTTTATTTACAAATACATGCACGTGCAATAGGCCCTATTCTTGAAATTGAAACTTGACTGAATTAAAAGAACATTTCTTTAAAATGTTTGGGCATTTTACATTATGCAAAAAAAAAGAGGTAGAAACTTGGATGACCGTATGATTAATTTCTGTAGTCATGAGATAAAACTGAGCTGTGAAGTTACAATGCAGGCTAATTGCTCCTCTGTTTTAGTTTGATTAAATTACACTAATTTTAAACTTGAATTCAATTAACATGTTCAGGTGGTTTCTACTTGTTGATAAACTGAAAATTTCAACTTGAAACAAAACATTAGAAAGCATCCTTACACCAGTTTACAAACTAAGTTTTTACAATTCCTTTTTCAAAAATATAATGCACGAAGACACATGCAGACGAAAATACATGGTATCAAGTGAAGAACAGAAGAAACTGAGAAGGCTTGCAAAAGCAAGATTATATTTTAATCAATGAAAAAATCTTATAATCTTAAAACAATTTACTCAAATAACTCCGGATAAGAGGGGCCAGGAATTGCCTCAGATTGCACCACAGAGCATCTAGAATCCAAAATTTCCCGGGGCCCTTAAGCGGGCCCCGGACCCCACGCCGAAAGATGATCGCGCTCCGCATTGGTCTTCGGAAAGATGCCCTATACTCATCCTTGCAAGATACAATTCCTTTTCAAAAATAAGCACGGAAGTTACTATGAAGACGAAAATGTTTGGTTATACAAGTGAAGAACAGAAGAAACTGAAAAGGCTTGTAAACGCAAGAGTATATTATAAACCAATGAAAAACATCCTTATAATCTTAAAATGTTTTGCTCAAATAACTCAGGGGGAAAGGGGCCAGGAATCCCCTCAGAATACACCACAGAGTATCTAGAATTCTAGAAAGGCGTAAGAAAGGCGTGATCCGCCCTCGCATTAGTCCTCCGAGCAAATGCCACAACGCACCGTTGCAACAGTTTACAAAACTAAGTCAATACAATTCCTTTTCCAAAATAAAAAGCAAGAAAATATAAATACGTAAAATGGTTTTCGACTTCAAGCACACAGTAACTTAAAAATTGTAAAAGTAAGAGTATGTTTTGAAAAAATCCTTAAAATCTTTAACACTTTTGCTCAACTAATTCAGGGGAAAGGAGCCAGGAATCGCCTCAGATTGCACCACAGAGCATCTATAATCCAAAATTTCCCGGGGCCCTTAAGCGGGCCCCGGACCCCACGCCGTAAGGGCTTCGCGCTTCGCGCTCGCATTAGTTCTCGGAGCAAATAATTTCGCTCCAACAGTGTGCCCCCCGTCTAAAATAATCCTGGATCCGCGCCTGCATATCAACCACACAATCAATGGACACCCAGGTCCAATGGGCTACCAGGCCCAAGCATATCAACCACACAATCAATGGACACCCAGGTCCAATGGGCTACCAGGCCCAAGCATATCAACCACACAATCAATGGACACCCAGGTCCAATGGGCTACCAGGCCCAAGCATATCAACCACACAATCAATGGACACCCAGGTCCAATGGGCTACCAGGCCCAAACATATCAACCACACAATCAATGGACACCCAGGTCCAATGGGCTACCAGACCCAAGCATATCAACCACACAATCAATGGACACCCAGGTCCAATGGGCCACCCGGCCCAAACATATCAACCATGGACACCCAGGTCCAATGGGCTACCAGGCCCAAGCATATCAACCACACAATCAATGGACACCCAGGTCCAATGGGCTACCAGGCCCAAGCATATCAACCACACAATCAATGGACACCCAGGTCCAATGGGCCACCCGGCCCAAACATATCAACCATGGACACCCAGGTCCAATGGGCTACCAGGCCCAAGCATATCAACCACACAATCAATGGACACCCAGGTCCAATGGGCTACCAGGCCTAAACATATCAACCACACAATCAATGGACACCCAGGTCCAATGGGCTACCAGGCCCAAGCATATCAACCACACAATCAATGGACACCCAGGTCCAATGGGCTACCTGGCCTAAACATATCAACCACACAATCAATGGACACCCAGGTCCAATGGGCTACCAGGCCCAAACATATCAACCACACAATCAATGGACACCCAGGTCCAATGGGCTACCTGGCCCAAGCATATCAACCACACAATCAATGGACACCCAGGTCCAATGGGCCACCCGGCCCAAGCATATCAACCACACAATCAATGGACACCCAGGTCCAATGGGCTACCAGGCCCAAGCATATCAACCACACAATCAATGGACACCCAGGTCCAATGGAGGCCGCCCGACAGTCCAAAGGTCCGATAGTCCGAAGGTTCTTTAGTCCGTAGGTTCTTTAGTCCGAAGGTTCGATAGTCCAAATGCACAAAATTTCCATAAGAGGGGGTTCGTTAGTCCGAAAATGAAATAAGGTTTGTTAATCCAAATATTTGATGCAATAGTCCGAAGGTTCATTAATCCGAAGGTTCATTTGTCTGAAGGTTCATTTATCAGAAGGTTCGATAGTCCGAATTTAGAATAATGTTAATCAGTCCGAAGGTTCAATAGTCCGAAACGAAAATAAGGTTCAATAGTCCGAAGGTTCATTATTCCGAATTGACAATAAGGTTCGATAGTCCGAAAAGACTATAGGGTCCGATAGTCCGAATCGACAAAAAGGTCCGATAGTCCGAATCGACAATAAGGTCCGATAGTCTGAATCAACTGTAAGGTCCGATAGTCCGAAGTGTCATACTGACGAACCGTGTTGCCCAT